TCTTAACAAGGCGTTCATGTTGTCCCTTTCTCCCATCCAACTATTAACCAGGCCCGACCCTACTTAGCTTCCAAGATCAGATGAGATCAGGCGCATTCCTTTCTCAAAACTGCCCAATCCATGGGTCTTCCGCCCCAAAACCAGCCACTCAAGAACTAGAAGATTCACAAACCAGTAACTTCAAATCAACTTCTCTCTAGGAATTAATTCATTATATCAATGCAGCTAGAGATTGGCCCAAACAATTTTTATTTTTTAGTCTCTTAAAGGTTATTCTTCACCTCTACCAGCACTCCTTTGCTTTATCCAGATTTTGATTTTTAGTGGTTAAAGATATAGTAAAGATACCATTTAACTATGAACTAAAGATACACAGCTTATTGAACAAGTTTGAAGATAATGTTATTTTATTACATTTGCTGACTGTTGGCTGTTGTATTTATAATTCACACAATTACTATAACTAGCATAAAATTTAAACTATTTACTTTTATAGCGTCTTTGGAACCTTGCTTTATCTCAACTCCAAAATTAACTTACTTTACAAAGACAGAGCTGAAGAGTTATAAAATTCAACATATACTTTACTTATCACGAAGGAAAGCAATACATATTCATAATTGTCCCCTGGAGGTTTCTTGACACAGTTACTGCCATCAGTAAGAGGAAATTTTTTCCTCAAAATAAATTCTTTTTCTTCAAAATAAAATCACAAAATTGCATGCAATGCCTATAATTTTAAATTGAGAATTTATATTTTGTTAAATTCAATTGGCCGTATAGATAGATATTTTTATTCCAAAATATTGACTTCCTTGATAAATGTGGAAGACAGAATACTGTCCAGGCTAACTACAGTTTCCAGAGCTGCCAGTGAGATGATTTTATTTAGCATGACAATGTGGTGAAAAATGGAGATGGGTTTTTATGATATAACAGACATTTAAAAATTTTCTTTAATTCAAGATGTAACTTTTTTCATATGCCCTCACATCTTATAGGCTTCTTGTTCTGAATACACACACACACACACACACACACACATACGTGTGTATATATATATATATATATATATATACACACACACACACACACACACGTGTATATATGGTAAATAGTAAGGACAAAGTAGAAAAGGTACATACAGAAAATCATATATATAAACGTCTGGGGTTACATTCTCAATGGGCTACTCTTTTAGCATGTCCTCTTATAAGGCACATAGGAATGCTACTACTCTAGATATGTATAAATCTAATGGCTTACAATACATACTGGTTGCCTAGTGGAGACAAGGAAGAAAGTAGAAGATCTAGCCCTTATTTTCAAAGAAGTGATAATATCTATAAATCTTCTCCTTCCAATTTGAAAAACATACATCTCTCCCTAACACAGTCTTTGTCTCTCCAAAACCATCGAACAGGTCTTTCTAATTGAATTGGTTGGCTGTCAGCTGTCTTAAAAACCAGTATCTACACAATCAAATCAGTGATTAAAGTGGGTTGGTATCCTGGATACCTAGAAACTCATGGTCAAGAAGAGGCTATTCCCTTTCACCGGCTTCTCACAGCCTGTACCGTCCATTTTAGACTGGGAGGTAGAAAAGGCGCTGGCCCACTCAGCCTCCTGGCTTCTCTGCCTGCACGTGTTCCATACAAATAAATGGAAATGGGGCCACTGTTCTCCTGTGTCAGGACATGGTCAGCATAAGTAAGAATACCAACCGGCAGGCATGCAGCATCTAGTGAGTTCCTATTGCAGCCCTGCTTTCTCTGCTACATCAGGTGGCAGTTGGCAGGAAAACTAATATTTTGAAAGTTCATTTGCTACTTGGAAATCACGGAATACCACTAGGTACAGAAGAATAGTCTGCTGCTTTAGAGAATATTTCATACACATTTTGAGACTGCTGGTTTTCTAGCAGGAAAATCTCTGATTTCTGGACTGGAGTGTATAGAAAGTTGTTGCCAAATCCAACTTGGGTCTGTGGTTTCCAAATTTTGAGATGTGAAAAGGACTCTGTTCAGTGATGGCAGGTCTCATGTGTCTTATTCCCCTTAGTGACTGACATCTAGCAGCCTTAACTAAACAGTTCTTGAGTAAATGAACTAATAAATTAGCAGTGGATTTCTTAATGTTAGTGGCAAATTCATTTTGAAGCGTTTTTCTTGGCCTATTGTGGTTAAAAGCCTAACAAAAGATGTAGTTGACTGTGATTTTTTAAGATGCAGCCAAATTTTGCTTGAGCAAAACCAGCATATGAAAAAATCTGGGTTCACAAAACAAACACTGTAAATTAAAGGATGATAATATGCTTCACAATTACATGGAAATATGCCTTAATTCAGAAGGCTCCTAAATGTTGGCTCATGATCTTTTCTCAGGTTCACAATGAAATAAGATAAAGCAGCTCACTGTATTATTTTTCATAAGGCTAAATTAATCAATTAAAAAAACTGTCCTTTATTAAAAAATTACCTTCTCCTGTTTCCGTGATTAAAATACTTTTCTAATAAAATAAGATAATGAGGCTAGTCTATGCAAATTATTCTTTTCTAATGCCCTTTCTTGCCAAAATAAAATTGCCAACCCTGTATTAGTTCCCCAGCTTTTTGAAAAGTATTTTATTGGTTTGTGAAATCCAAGACTGACTTAGTTTTAAAGTAAGATTCATTTGATACAAGTATTTTAAAAAAATACATATTCAATGAAGGAAGATAGTATACCCTTGGCCTTAATTACCCATGGTAATAATAGCCAACCAGTGTTGAGTTGCTACTCTGTGCTGAGCACTGCTCTCAGGGCTTTTAAAAATGTGTTAATCATCCGAATTTCATAGTATCCCAAGAAAGTAGTAGTATTTTTTCCCCATTTTACAGATGAGACCTCTTGCCTCAAAACACACAAAATCCAGCTGGTAAACTGATAGAGCTGGCTCTAGAACTTATGGTCTTATATTACAAAGAAACTGGGCCATAGCACAATGCAACCAATAGAAAAACATCACTCGTCATTATATTCTAATGATTTTGGAAATGGAGGTCCAATCAGCATACAGATTATAAACTCCTATCCAAGACTCCTACTATCATGTACTTAAAAATCACAGCCCTTCCCAATCTTACCTTACCAACCCAGTTCTTGGTGACCTATTTTTAGCTTCAGTATTTACAGAGGTATTGCTTCAAGCAATATCCTTATTTCTTAAACTCAAGTTTTAATTAGCAAATACCAGAAAACAAAGCAAGAAAATACATTTACAAAGGAGTATTCAACCAAATAGGAGATGAAACACAACATTCCTAAATTCAGTCATCATGATTAAGTTAACTTAGGGCAAATTCAACCTTATCGTACACACAAAAAAAGAATATTTGTTTACTTAAAGAGTATAAAACTCCAGCTCCCAAATGCTATGAAAAAGTATTAACACCCTAGCTTTCAAGAAAGTTTTAAAAAGTATTACAGTAAGTAAATAAAGTATTAAAACCTCAGCTTCCAGATGTAGATATCCATCCCAACAATAGGTTCTTATTTAAAAGATTACAGACTTTAGTGGGAACTCACATATTTCTTTGCAGTGCCTGAAGTCCAAATAAAATATCAATTCGGCAAAGAGGTAAATTAGGAAGTAAAATTCCTAATAAATAAAAAGATAAAAGGCAAAACTGATGAATCCAACCAGACCTTTTCACAATGACAAAGAAAAAACAAAACAAAAACAAAAAACTTCCAAAATTACAGCAAACTGGAATCAAAGACAATTTTGGCTTTCAAAACCGACAATACTCTTGGTAATGGTAAAAATGATTTGGCAAGTTAAAGACGGGTTTCTATCACCCTATCGTCTATTTATCACCACTTACCAAAATATTGCACTACATGAAAGATGCTGTCATTTTACTTCAATGACGACGAAAAAGAGATTTTAACGCTATTAAATTCTGGGTTGCCCTAGGAAAGATCAATGAATCAAGAGGTCTTGGGGCTTCTGCAGTTTAAGGAAATTTTGTAGATTAACATCTTCACCCCTCAGTTCCGAGAGGCGGGGTGTGCATATCCAATCCGAATACCTTGTATACATACAGCACTCTAATTTCTAACAACTGCAGGTAACTCCTGCACAAACTCTCTTTCTGGCTTCTGCTCAAGTACCCCTCCCTAGCTCACATGCCCTAGAAAAGCACAGAACCAGTTCTAGTACTTAGTTACCACCCAGCACCCCTAAGCTCCTCCCCGAGACTACCCTCCTCCCGCCTGGCCGGGCCCGGCCCGGCCCGGCCCGGCCCGGCCCGGCCCGGCCCAGCCCACCCCCCTCCCGCTCCGGCCCTCTGAACCAGGCCCCCCCCCCCCCCCGCGCGCTCCACCAATCAGCAACCACCTCCGCCCGTAGCCCCGTCTCCGCCGCTCCCCTTTCAAAAAGGCAGCTTTCTCCTCCCGCCTTCAGCCCCACCCCTCTCCCACCTCCCCGCCCCGCTGGTCCCTCCCACTTCCCCAACTCCCCGTTCCCCTCCTCCCCTGTTGACCCCTCCCGCTCCCAGGCTTCGCCCCGCCCAGTCCGGGGCAGCGCGCTCGCTCTCTTCTCGCGAGATCTGAGCGTCCCCGCCGCTGCCGCCCGCCTCCCCCTCCCGTCCTCCCACCCCCCTCCCCCCCCCCCCCCCCCCCTCCCGCCCCCCCCCCTCCCCCCCATCTCTCCACTCTCCGGCTCTCCTCCCTCCCTCCTCCCCCCCTCCACCCTCTGGGCCGGATCTCGTCTCGCTGAGGCGGAGGAGGAGAAGGAGGAGGACGTTCGGCCTGCGCAGTGAGATGTTTGTCCGTCGCCGCCGCCGCCGCCATCGCGGAGGAGCGCGATAAAGGGAGCCGAGCCGGGCGTGAGGGGGACCCCGCGGAGCCGCCGCGCCAGCGCAGCCCCCCAGCCGAGCCCGAGCCGCCGCCGCCCCCGCCGCGGCCGCCCAGGGGCCGGCCAGCTCTCCAGCCTAGCCCGGGGGCCGCGCCGCCGCCCCCAGCGTAGCCCCTCGCCTGCCCGCCCGCCTTAAATGTGACACCGGCGCCTCGGAGTGCGACCCGAAGCCGCCGCCGGGGAGGGGACGAGCACCATGTCGAATCTGAGCAAAGGCACGGGCAGCCGGAAGGACACCAAGATGCGGATCCGGGCCTTTCCGGTGAGTCTCTCTTCGGCGCCTGGGACCCCAGGGCCGGGGGCCCGGCGGAGAGCCGCACGCGAGGCCCGGGCTGAACTCCCCCAACAGGCCGCAGGCCCGGCCTCCCCTCCCCCACGCCGCCGGCCGCGGGGCGCGAGCCTTCCCGGCAACGGGGCGGCGCGGGGCCCCGGCGCGGCCGCCCTCCCGGGCCGTTCCCCGCGCCCGGCGCCCGAGCCCGCGCCCGGCGCCCGGCGCCGCGCACCCGCCCGGGAGCTGCTCCTCCGGCCAACCAGCGGGCGTCGGCTGCGGCCGGGGCCGCTTGGCCGGTCCCAGCCCCTTCGCACGTTCCTGGGGTGTAGGCCCAGCCCCTAGTACTTCTCGCCGTGCTCGCTTCCCGGGACCACCAGAGCTGCGGGGACGAGGACTGTGGAAGTCCTCCGTGTATGGGGCGTGTGTGTAACTTTTCACGTGTGGTCTCGCTCCGGTTTAAAATAGAAGCTAGCCTAAAAGATGGCCAGCCAGACCTTCTGGACTGCCCTCTCCCGCTCTCTTCCTCCTCCTCAGGGTTTTGCCACCAACCTACCCCGACGCAGTGACAGTGGTTCCACGTAGTGCTCAGTAGTAACGTACTAATATCATCAGCTGTATTTATAGTCTCTTTCATCCACAGGCTTCCAAAGCACTTTACAAACTCTGTTGTGCAGGAATTGCCTCGCCACTCGTAGGAGGGTCAAGGGGAAGCAAGAGAGAACACATTGGACAATTGTTTCTCCGTTTCTTAGCCATGGAAGCCCAAAAGAATGAGCAGTCGCTACCCCGAGCTGCTCTACTCTAGGTTTTAGTGACAGCAAACGTGTTCTGTTTAGAAACTTTCTTTTTTAGCATTACGTTGAGTCATATGCTTGCAGTATTTAGTATGGAGAGTATAACTTTGGATGTCATACCTGATTCAGGTAGCCAATGGCAAGCAATTAAAATGTACTGTTGTAACAGAAACTGGACATACTTGCTCACGTCGCTACAGTAACAGATACACGTCAAGATAGACAAACTAGCAATTGTACAGAAGATTTTAGAACAGTAAAACTAGAGGAAGATCTTGAATCTCTTAGAATCATGAATATATATTGAGAAAGGGGAAAGATGGGGTTTGAATTCACTTTTTTAAGCATGCTTTTTCTGAAGTGTAATTTTCAGTGAGGGAAGACTTACGAATACAGAAGAGAAGTAATGAAGTCGATTAGCGTGTTTGCCCTTCTAATGAAGTGAGCTGGGTTTATGAATTTTTGAGTAATGTTAGTTTTGCCACTAAATCAGTTGTGAACGTTTTTGGCAGAATTTAGAATTAAGAATTTTAAATAGTTCTATACAAGTTTTCTAGGAAAAATTTGCTATTGTTGAGATCTGAGTTCTTCTAATTCAGATTTATTACTAAAATGTGGAATAGCTCACATTTGACATTAACTCATTTTTGTTAATATTGTGATTAACCAGTTGTACCTTTAAGTGCGATCAGCTTTTCATCTTTTCAGGTTTACCTGTTCCTACCTGGTCTTCATTCCCTCATTCATTCAATAAATACTGAGTACTGTGTGCCAGGCACTGGTCTAGGGGCATGGAATAAGTACAGCTTGAAGAATCAAGATCCCTTCTTTCTGGATGTTGTACATGATTGGAAGAGGCAGGAGAGAATTTCATTATTCTTTTTGTGAAAGAGTATAATATATGGTAGATTAGCACATAGTGCTGAAGCTCATTTTTTTTTTAAGTAGTATTTATGGTTGTGAACTAATTTGGACCTTTTTCTGTCCATAACTTGTTGTCATCTAAGATTTTCTAAAATCTTTAAATGAAGTTTGTAAATGACTAGTGTTTAATACTCAATTTAATATCTGCTAATTTTTAAAAGCATAATTTTTCATTATTTTGTAAGTATTAATCTTCCTAAGTAATTTCCACTGAAAAGAATCACTACATTTTTTAATAATAAATTTTTAAGTCCTAGTACCTTGAGCCCTCATTAAGAATAGACACATACCTCAGTGGTATGATATTTCACTGACTTACCCCTTGGTAAATGTTTGAGTACTTACAGACCTTCAAAATTTCTCCTCATCCAGGTTAGCAGTCTCCTAGTAGTAAATGTGTAGTATTCTGTAAAGAAAAGATAGTATTTGTGTGTGTACATATGTACAGAATTTACAGCTGTAGTATTTTGCATTAATCTTTGGCCATTCACTATAGGTACTGTAGTTTAAGAAAATTGTGGTTTAACCAAAGGTCTCAGGTGCTCATTTCAGATTCTGTTTTATAACATTGATGTGTAAAAAGTGTAAAAATATGTTTTGAGATTGTTTTGTTTTCATTGCAAAATAGAGTGGTAAGTGAACTTACAGGTTATTCTATAGATGTATAAGCCTATTCCAGATACAGTCCCAACAGTAAAATCAGGTTCTTTTTAGTGTTTTGAATATATATTCTAAGTGTGCCTTCATTGTTGTTCTCAAGAGTAAAGTTATGCCATACCACAGTTTTATGCACAATTTGCATTTTAAGTAGAACTTTTCATAAGATTGAGAGAAATTAGTTCTTAAGACGGAAAACATTAGGGACTTTCTGGGTTTAAAAATTGTTGATTGAGTTAGAGTTTATCCAGTTTGTAAGCTTTCCTGCACTGCACAAAGTATGTGTCATTTCACACTTTTTTTTTTTTTTGGTGCCCAAAATTAACAGCAAGGGACACAAAACTTTTTTAAGGAAGGAGGCTGTAGTTGCGAAACTCCTGGAAACTATATGGATTTGGATCAGAGTGCTGCCCCAAGAAGTTCCTGCTCTTCTTTCCTTGCTGTTGCCGAATGTCTCACTCCTGAGCTTTTGTTCCACTATGTAGGATTAGTTGCTGTCAGGTGAACCTTTTGTTCTTATCTTTGAAAAGCCATTCCTCACCATCTGTACTTTCCACATGGGTTTTGTCCACATGGACTTGAAACACTAGATTGGATTGGAGGGGATATGTTTGAAAATATTTCTCTCTCCTCTGATATTCCTTTCTTGACTTAGCCTTCACAGAATTTAGGAGTCATATTGTGAAAGTGATTGTCTTTAGAATGTGATTTGGAAGTGGTTTCAGTTATTATAGAAGCATGCTAAATCATGATGCAGAATCTTTGGCTGTGATGTCCACTCCATAATTCTAGATGAGTTTCATGGAGCTCCACATGTGCAGCATGGACAGTGAGTGATACGGAGGTTATTGTTAGATGGAAACCACAAAGTGAATGACGTTACAAAGAGATGAGTTTTAAGATCATTTGTGATGTACTTATTAACACAAGGGTTTAATGACAATTGGGGACAGTTAATGTTTTTGTTTTTCCTAGCTATAGTAAAATTTGCTAGATTTGGGGGAACGGCTTTGATCTTCATAATAGATTTCTCTTCCTCAGAGGAAGTAATTGTCGTCTAGGACTACCTGAACTATGTACAGGAAAGCTGAAAGCTGAATAATAGTCTTGCAAATCACATGGGGGGGGGATTAACTATATTTATTTTTCATTCTCTAACATAGAGAAATTATGGAGTAAGTTATAACAGATTCATTAAAGTGTTGCTTACACTTAGACTGATTCTTTCTGTTTATCCTGAAACTTCAGGATAGCCAGCTATGTTGTAACTGTTAGTACCTCTGTTGTAACTGTTAGTACCTCTCTGACTTTAGAAGTTAAAAAACAAAAGCATAAAGTAGTTATCTATAAGGTGTTTATATTTTGCATTGTCTTCCTCGATAGCAGTTCAGGGGAGCCTGGAATATTATTAGTACCAGTATTGAATTTGAAACTATTTTAGAGTATAGAATATAATGGAGAATTTGGCCTTTTAAATAAGGTCAGTTCATTGAGACAAGATAGAGAAAGCTTCATTTGTTTGTACATCATTCATTAAATGTAGCTAATAATAGCATTTTTCTAGTTCATGAAGATTATATAGTAAAGACTAAAAAAAAAGTAGTATGCCCTCCCTTTGTATTCTAAATTGCTGCCAACTATCAGATAATTTTTTTGCTCTTATTTTCATTGGAGATCAATCATCTGATGTTTGTTAATAATTTTGTTAAATTTTTGTAAAAGTTACTGGACAATTTGTAGTTTCAAATAATGGAAGTTTGAAAACAGATCTCATTTATTCATTGTAAATGTAGCAAAAAAGCAAAGGTGTTACTAGTAAGCACAAATCACTGAGGTATACTAGGAATTGCAATTAGTGTCTATGAGTGTATTGTGAAAGCTATTCAGTCATCTGTCAAAGCAATGAATTCATTTTAGTAGATTTTCTAATTATAAAAGTAATGCATATTCATGATAGAAAACTTAAGTATCTAAATTTATAAATAAGGAAATTAAAATCATCTCTAACCCTACTGCTTGGAAATAAGCAATATTTACATTTTGATGTATTTTCTTTTATTTCATACACTTGTAAGCACCCAGTAAAATTGAGGTACTATATTATTTTAAAACCGCTTTATAAAAATACAGTATTCTCATGTTAAATATATTAAGGATATGATTTGTAAAGACAGGTACTCTATGGTACCTCAGTTTGCTTAACCATTTCCCTACTGCCAGGTATTTTTATTGATTCCAGTTAATTCATATGTTCTCTGTTATAGATAATGCAACTGTGATTATTTAGGCACATAAATATTTGGGCCTATCCATGATTATGGAGTTACTAAGCCAAACAAAATTGATACATATTGCCAATTGACCTCCAGAAAGGTAGGAATAATAATAGCTAATACTCAGGGAATGCTTATCATGGGCCCCACACACTGTTCTTTGTGTATGTAAACTCACTTCATTTGCACAACTCTGTAGAGTACTACTACTATCATCTGTTTTATAAAGGAGGCTTTGAGAACCTAAGAAATTTGCTTCAGGTCACTGTGCTTGTAAGTGGCAGAACTGGGATCCTAATCCGGCTCTAAAGTGAATTAATTATACCTGTCAGGGTTGTATCAT